TATTTCCTGCTTCTTAACGACAGTATTGCTTATATGGTTGTCCCAGGATACACGAGCAATGCTTCGAAGACGCCTATGATCGATAACGAGCAACCTACGAATATCCTCAACAATTACCGGCCATGTTTCACACCCATATATAAAGACAGAGAGAACTGCTGCACACTAGACTCGTCCTTTGGTTAGCAAACGGATATCTCACCTACGTCATAAATGACACAAGTTGGTAAATGCCAATCAAGATTTCAGTATCCATGCTGAGATTTTTTTGAGTCACCGGGCAATCGGCACTGATGAGACTCCCCAGATAAGTGAAGAGGCCGACACGCTCAACTACCTCACTCCCTATAACTAATTTTCTTTCCTTTTTCGTTAATTTAATGAATGAATATTGTTGAATAATTTTCAACGGACTTTATTTCACTACAATCTATTTCTTTCCCTTTACTCATCTGGTAATTTAGGATGAGCTACAGTAATATGATGTGTTCATAAAAGACTTTTGTAATTTACTTTAGATGAGATTGGATTGTAATCGTCGATGCTATAATCCCTACAGTGATATGTAGTAAGCACTCATTAGATAAACGGAAAAAAACACTATAAAATGATAAAGATTACACTTTTATCGAACAATAAGACAAACCCGCGAGATGATAGTAACCGATGATTAGAGACTTTGAATGACATGGCTTAAAACAGTGTGCAGTGGCCTCAGATGCATCTATTCTTTATCGTCTATCAAATTCTAATCTTCTGAATTCTTCATAACCTTTTTCCTCGCTTTGGATTTATTCCACTGAGATGTACGTCTCTAGTGATATTTTAGATCTCTGATATTTTCGATTACTCCTAATAGTTCTACTATCTTTTCTACTATGGTATTTGAATTGACAATTCCATCTCTCTGTCTGCTAATGTGGTATGGCTAATTGAAATGATCTACGTACATATGTACAAAGTTCTATGTTTTAGCTGACTGACTGACTTATTGAACAATGAAAAACAAATACTGGTTGATTCACACATTCAATGATTATAGTGATATAATTTATAATCAAGACTTATATTTTATAGTAGAAATAAGCAGATTTACTGATATTTATTATAATTCTCATTCAGGAGGAGTCAGTCAGTTACGACGTAGAACTTCGTACGTATGTACATCAGTTCATGTAGCCATACCATATTAGCACAGATACGCCATTGGCAATTCAAATCCCATAGCGGTAGAGATAGTAGAAGAATTACTGCTGATGGGGAAGATTAGCGAGCGAAGATATGATTAGAGAAGTGTAATTCAGTGAGATAAATTTAGAAGGAGAAAGACAGAGATTATGAGGAATTCAGATGGTTAGAATTAGAGAGAACACAATGGTCGGATGCTCCTGCGCGATTACTAACGATTTTGAGCCATGTCATTCAAGGTCTCTAACCATCGATGACTTTCGTCTCATTCAGGATGTATAATATAGCAAGTGTTCAAGGAAGACATGATCAAGTGTAGACTATTAGAACATCAAGGAAATGTGAACTCCTACTTCTATTTATATTGCTTTGTCTAGTTATTAGCACTACGCTGATTTACTCGACAACACAGTCATAAATAGGTTACTGCTTTGAACTTAAAAGTTACCGGTTTCATTGTTGCATATTTAGCGATTAACCACATGGAGCCAAGCATCCAAGTTTTGGCATTGTTTAGACACAAGTAAATGAATTCTATTTCATTGCTTTAAAATTATATCACTATCACCATCCTCCATAAAAGATAAATCTATTTTCTATCTTCTTATTCTAATTGGTTATTGGATTCAGAAGGTCTTTATGGACCAATAAAATTTCAGTTTTAATGTGCTCAACCATTTTGTATCAAGGTCATTTGTTAGATAGGCGGAAAAAATAAAAAAATTAATTAGCTAACTCGCTAATCAAGTTTGCCGATCATATAGACATGACGGTACAAAAAATAATTTCAAAATTTATGATGAACAAATATTCAATGTAAACGAATTAGTTGATTCATAGTTTCAATTCGTTTGAATACAGTTATATTTGCATAAACAACAATCGAGTTTGTAATTATATATCACGTTATAGATTTTGTTTGGTAGTAGAGTAAATTGAAGTTCATACTGGTCAGCTAGCTGCGCTGATTGAACTATATATAAATATATCTTCAGTTGTTCAACCAAGGATAAGTTCAGTTAAGTTATAAGAATGAATCGATTTCTCACTTTATCTATCTCAAACCAGATTGATAAATCTGCATTTCGTCATTTGAAGAAAATACACTTATGTTTGTACACAATTAAAATCAAATAGAAATTCAAAATTATCGATTCCTTTTAAAGCAAACATTATTAGCTGAACATCAAATGAATTGTATTGTAGTGTGTCGATTTCTGCGTGTTCTTAATCTTTCGCGATTAGCTCGTCCAGACAATCGTTACTAAATAGCATCTGACGGTTTATAAATCAGAAGGTGAACTCGTAGTGTTGAATACGTTTATTTGGGACACACCACAAAGCGAAGCGGAGAAGCAGTGAATAAAACGAATGAAGCGACGTGAATTGGAGAAGGCTGTTGAGCCAACTCCTTGGATTACAATGCGAACGAATGGGCGAAGGAAGCGGATGAACAGGCGAAGCGCGTGTTGGAGAAGGCTAATGAATTCGCTTCAGTCCCTCGCCAGTGTACACACTACAAAGGGTGAGCCCGACGTCTACAAAATCGGCCACCATACAAATGGTGACCCCGAAGTTTCCAGAATTAACTTGACGATTCTGACGACAAATCGAATACAACCAACTAGGAGGAAAAATCGAACAGAACCACTAACTGGAAATCCCGACGACGCACGTCGACAAAGCAGCTCAGGAACTTAATAAATTTGCTGAACGAATCAACGAACCAGACTTGATATACAACACAGACAACGCATTCTCTCATCGGACAAAAGCAGCGAAGTCACTTCAGTGGTTAAATGCACATACAAAAAACGTACTGATCACTACGAGTTTACCTTCTGATTTATAAACCGTTAGACGCTATTTAGTAACGATTGTCCGGACGAGCTGATTACCGAGCTTAAGAACAAGCAGTAAAACGACACACTACAGTATAATAATAATAATAATAATAATAATACTATAATGTAGTTCTCAATTGCTTTTATTTTGATTGTTAACAGACACATGAACATTGTGAGATGAAATTATCGTAGGAAATATTAGAATAGTAAAACAAAATAGTAAGATTACTATTGATAGATAGTATGTAGAATACAAACTGAAGTTTAGATTGAGGAATAACTGTCTAGGTAGGTTAGATACGTGCTATATTGTCCAATTGAAATCAAAACAAGGTGATTTGGGTAAATGACAGTGGTTCTAATATTCATCATAAATATAAATGTACATCATTACCTAAATAAATATTACCACTTAGTTATTCCTTCAACAATTGTTCAATTATTTAAAAATCAACAGCAACAAATAAATGATATTCTATCCCTCCTGGATAGATCAGATTCGTTCGACAGATAATATTTGGTTGCTTTATATAACACAGAGTGTTTCCTATTCTGGAAGAGTGCTTCAATTCACAATTAAAATGCACAATTCCAGTCAATGCAAGCGCCACAATGAAAAGCGGAACAAATCAATATGGCCGTCGCCATGACTAATAAGTATCAGCTTAAACAACATAAATGTAGTTCAAAAAGAAACATAGAAACTCAGTAAAGGCAAAAGAAATAGAAACTATAATAAAATACAAATATTATCATCTCAAAATGGAATCGAAAAGATTGACAAAATGTACAACTGAAGGAATCAATCAGGATATATTACAAATGGTATACCCAGGAGGGATTTTTACAAACAAAGCCTTCCGAAATGGATCTTACAAGTGTGGAATATGTTACTTACGGAGCGGCATATGAATAGTACTCAACAAAGTGTCACTTAGAAGTTACTAACAAGCGGAAAAAATGTTACGCGATTGAAATGTATGATGTAATCAGAGTATATTGAAGATATTTATATTTGTTTGATGTATATATATATATATATATATATATATATATATATATATACATATATATTCCAATCTAGTTTTGACTTATTCATACGTACATCACAGTAATGCGAGACTACATATATAGTAACCGATGGTTAGAGACATTGAATGACTTGGTTCAAAATCGTCGACGATGGCGTAGGTGCATCCATTCTTTGTATTCTCTTGAGTTCTAATCTTTTGAATTCCTCATCACCTCTATATTTCTCTTTTAAAATTTATTTCACTAGGTTATACTTCTTGAATAATATAATATAGAAGAATGAGGCATAGATCATATGGTTCAAGAAAAGAGGATCGATATTTATGAAACAAATAAAACTGGTGATTTAAAAGAAAATAATTGTTTAGTCATTCAAACTAACAACCAACCACATTCGAGCTCGATCAATAGAATCGGTTAAACATCTACAAACAATTTACTTACTACTTACGCCTGTTTACCCCAAATGGAGCATAGGCCACCGACTAGCAAATTAGTTTTCTTGTTAGCGTTTTTTTTTAGCGAGTTGGATTTCTATAAGATGGCGGGTTGTTAAACCCCATATACCCAACTCTCTCCCAGTTTCTGGGCTTGAGATTGGCAGTAAGCCTAGAAGAGAGAGCTCCAGGCGGATTTTACAAACAATCAGACTAATGTTTATTGATTTCAGTCTTACAGTAGGTCCGTTAAAATCTCAATGAGATAACACTTTATTCATCTTTACTGAATGAAATGTATTCAAATCTCATAAAGAATTCTTTTAATATTGTAAGTTACATCTTTGTTTAATGACTGTTAAATAGTATGAAATCTATGCTCAATTTTCGCTATTGATCTTCTTCAACAACCAGCTATTGTACATTGAACATATGTATCTATTGATTTTTTTTTAAAAATTGAATATATAAATCACATATTTTTTTAAAAATTCAGTTTAATGATAAATATCCAAATGCATATCATTCATCCAACTCAACTGGAACTTTATTCAAATCGACTAATGATAGAACAACAACAACAATAATGACTAGACATTCATTTGAAAAATTGAACAATTTAACACATGCTTCAGTGCAAACTGATTCAATGGAACTTCAACCTAGCCATCATCATCATCATCATCATGTTGATCATGAAATTGATTCAAAAACGCGCTATAACAAATTCCATAAAACAACAAAATGTACAAATGTGGCAACACAAACGAATCAAATTCAAAAAAACTTCCGGACAAACAAAAAAAGAAAACGATCTATACGAATGAAAAGAGGAGTTTTCTCCGCCTCCTCACCGTCCACAACCTCGTTCGCCTTGTCATCATCGTCTTCGCCTAGATCTTCATCATTATTGTTCGATGAGAATGAGAAAGGCGTTGATCGTAATAATACTAATAATAAAGATGTTTACATGAAGAATCTTTCGATCAAGTTAAATTCATTACAAATACAACATGAGGATAATAATAATAATAATCATCGGACAGTTAAAAATCTTGATCCATTGTTCAATGTTTCCAATAATACTGGTGATTCAATGTACAATATAAAAAAATCGAATCACTGTAAGTTTTATTGTTTTATAGTAATTTTGTGAATTAAAAAACAAAGACAAACAAACTATGTTAGTTTTAAATGTCGTCTTGACATTGAGAATGATTCAGTCAAATTAGTGATTTTGTGTCCTTGAAATTATGAATAATTGTTCATTCACTTACGCATTTTAACAATGTTGGATGCCTATTCGGTGAAGACGCTGACTAAATGCAGAGTATTCTGACCACCCTAAGCAACAATGCAAGCATGTTCGGGATACGGTTCTCACCATCGAAATGCAAAATGTTGCTTCAAGATTGGGTTGCATCGGCACCTGAACTAGTGATAGGGAGCGAAGTAGTTGAGCGTGTTGAACGCTTCACTTATCTGGGGAGTCTCATCAGCGCCTATGGCCTGGTGACTGACGAAATCTCAGCTTGGATACAGAAGGCTCGATTGTCTTTTACTAATTTACTTCATTTATGGCGTGGGCGAGATATCCGTTTGCTGACTAAAGAACGAGTGTACTGTGCAGCAGTTCGCTCTATTCTCTTATATGGTTCCGAAACATGGCCAGTCAGAGTAGAAAATATTCGTAGGTTGCTGGTTTTCGATTATAGACGTCTCCGAAGCATTGCTCATGTATCATGGGACAACCAAATAAGCAATGCTGTCGTTAAGAAGCGGGTAATGGGTAGGGATGGCAAATCAATAGATGAAGTAGTGAAACTTCATCATTTGAGGTGGTTGGGACATGTGTTACGTATGCCTAACCACCGACTGCCTCTACGAGTTATGTTTTGTGATGTAGGAGTAGGTTAAAAGAAAGCTATGTGCGGTCAAACCAAAACATAGCACAAATCCATGAAGTGACTGACAAGTGGACTGAGTGATGTTGGTAGATGTAGGCTACCTGTTTGGGTTCCGCGAGACGAAAATCACCAATGGTTTGTGTTCTCTCAAATTCTAATCTCCTGAATTCGTCATCGCCTCTATCTTTCTCTTTCTAAATTTATCTCACTGGATTATACTTCTCGAATCATATCTTCGCTCCCTAATCTTCTCCATTACTGCTAACACTTCTATTATTGCTATCACTGTTGGATTTGAACTGACAGTTGCGTCTGTGTGCTGATGGGGCATGGAAACCTAAACTGATATAATTACGTACGAAGTTCTGCGTTGTGTCTCTCTGTCTGATTGACTTGAGTGTCAAACTTCTAAAAAAATCTCTAGTGTTCCTTGTACTGATTCTCTCCAGTAATTCTATATTGTTCCAACCGACTGTATGTCCACGTAACTTTATTTAAAATATATGGACTAGAACAATCAACAAAACGAAACTTCACCACGATCAGTAGAGAATTTTTAGAGGCTTAGCCATCAAGTTAATTAGCAATCAGCAAACACATCCACATTGACCCAATTTATTAACCAATCACAAAAATCATAGACAAACATAGGATCAGCAAACCGATCAAAGAGAGACACAATCAAAATTAAGATGCAGACAACGACAAGTTTAAGGCCAATGACAACTAATAAAGATTGATGTCAACAGAACAAGCTACAAATCATATGTGGGGAAATTCGAATACTTCACTTCTCTACCTGAAGTTTGTGTTGATTATAATGTTGTTCAGAAGAATAATGAAAGCTCCACAATCAAAGCATCTAGCTCAGAGGACGAAACTTCATCACAATCATCCACCTGAGCTACAAATTTTCTCCACCATCTCACAGAACAAACAAGCTGCTAGTCCTGTGCAGAAGAATTTGAATAGCTCACTCCTCTCTGACTTATGTACTTACTGAAGTTGTGTCCGCAAAGATTGTCGAAGTTTGTTGATTGAACGACCCAGTTCAAATACTGGATTACCGTTAAAATCATTCTCTTGTTGTTGGTGATAGCGCTTGACTAACTGAAATAAATTAGGTGATAGTAGAAATAACTAAATCCAAATATGTATAACACAACCGTGAAAAAAACTAACACCTGGTAGTAGACTCCCAAATGATCAGACATGAAATTGGCTAATAGCGACGTTATTTTTCTCAACTTGTAAAATCTCCAAGTTATATTTATGTCCTGTTTCCATTGTCTGTTTCAATGATGTTTTCCTAACAGTGTGTGTGGATCGCATATTTTTCAAAATCCTTTTTAAAATCACAAAAAAAAAATACTTGAATCAGTGCTGTTATATATAACAGCGAAATATACAGGTTTGCACTTACAAACCTCTCTACTTGATAATAGATAATTTAAACTGCGCATTAGACTGACTGGGTACTCACTAGTCAATCAACAAACTCCGATAGATAACACGCATATATATATATATATGCTCACGTGTGATAACACACCATTGAATTATACGATCAACGATCGATCACCAACCAGTTAATCGAAAATACCAATGGTTGGACTCTAACTGGCGCCGCATCAATGCAATCAGTTTATAGAGATAGCCCCTCATAGTTACTGTAGCCGAATGGAAATGTCCATCTTCATTCATCATCTATCCAATCATAGTTCAGTTGTAACACAGACATATCAGATATGTGTGCACGCAAGAGGACACAATTCATTGATTATCATTGACTGCGGAATAATTCATTTCATTAACATTTCAGGCACGTTCAATTTATTTATAGTAGTAATTCAAGAGGTTTGATAAATTTTTTGTACAAATAGTTAACAATTGATTTTTGGAATGATTTGTTCATTTTAAAATTTTAAAATTAAATTCAATGATGAATGAACTTTGTTTGGTGTTCAAATTTTGTATTCTGAAAAGATTATTATGAATGCATTGATTTTTAATAGGTTTATATGATTGATTAAAAAAGATTTTTTAGAGGTTTGTTTTACTAATATGACAATTAAAGTTATGAAGATCATGATTAATTCAGTCATAAACAACAATTTCCTTCAATCTATAATGAGAGATCGTGCAATTTGCTCACTAACGACTAGTTTTGTGAGGTTCTCAGAGTTCTAATAAGAAGCTGTGATCAGTGAACTTCAAGCCTGTCGAGTGTAGGCAGTAACTGCCAAAGACAGTTGGGTGAATTTAAGTGAAATCCTTAGATTGATCAGAGTTATATATAAACACCGTTGGATGCCGGCTCAATGGTCCAAAGGTTAGGCGTCCGCGCGCAAGACCGAAGGTGCTAGTTTCGAATCCTGTCAGTAGCAGGAGTCGTTGGGGTGAACTACCACTGATAAGGACGAAAAGACCGTCTTTCAATGCTTCCAGGTTTCTCTAATAGGTAGTCTAACAATCACTGATTGGCGATTTCAATGCGTAATAACGAAGTGACCGCATGAAAGATCGAACCCATGAGTGTTTGCTCCTTGGTCTTTCAATGATTGTCTAATGATTGTTGACAATAATGAAATTTCTGTGAATGAAATTAAAATAAAATCATGGTAAAAATAATTTCCACATATTACAGTTGATTAATCAATCATGTGATTTTTATTCTCTAAATAAAAAATAATTGAATGTTGAAAAAGAAATCTTAAATACTTTGTTAAAAAAAGTTTCAAAATTCTTCAATCGATGTTCAATCGATGCTGAAATGAGATTGCTAAGTGCAGCATTGCACACACACACACACATACACACACACAACCTTATGAAATCTGCGCATATGTACCTCCCCTAACTTAAAGTTGCAAATGAATATCATTTAAAGTGTCTGATGAGGTTTTTATCGATTTTATTACGTGTGAATTTAGAAAAAAAACTAAATAAATAGACCTAATTCAAGTAAATTGAACATTGAATTTCATTTCAATCTACCAATATTGTTTTGTTTACAATGAAAAGAATTGTTTTGTATTCATGAAGTCATTGCAATAATAAAAATAATAATAATAATAATGAGAGAGTTTCTCTTCATTTTATTCGTTATAAAGGTTTTTTTTCTTGAAAAAACTGCTAATCAGTTATGAACAATTCCAAAATCTAGTATAACATATGTCATTTAACTTATCACAGTGAATATTATTATTATTATTATTATTATTATTATTGAAGCCAAAACAAAGAAAACGCGATTTTATAGTTTTGAAAAAAAAAATCATGCCATTATTGATTGATTTTCAAATTGTTTAATTATCTAAACAACTAGAAAACATGTTGTTTGTTATCTTTGTAGTTTAATTTGATCATTGAAAAAAAAGACTTTAGTCAAACAATCATTTGTAAAACTAGGGAAACATTATAAATGACTGTTGCATACGTGCATCGATACGCATTAGTAGAATTGTTCTACCCCGTAAATTATCTCTTCAACCATGATTAATTACCATATGTAATAATAGCTTGCTGAGAAGATCTCATGTGTTAAAGTGAAGTGTAATTTTCGTGATTGAATGTAGACAAACAGGCGCTTAGCCTAATTATCGATTTCTACTCTGGGCTCATTGAGTATGACTGCTTACAATGTTGTATGGAATAAAGTATTTTTTTTCTGTCGGTTACTCTGATTCCCTCCTATTTTTTTATATAATCTAGTCTGTGTGTAGTTTGCCGTTGTAGTATTCGATTTACTGATAGGATAAACCCAATCACCCTTTTAAATTTCATTCTAGCAATACTATGGTGAAAAATTTATCCAAATACTCTTCTTATTGCAATGAATAAACTTTTCTATCACTCTTTACAGTTCAAAATATTGTAACCATCGATCTCTCTTTGTGAATGTTAACACTTACCATCCTAATTCTCTAGCTATAATCTGAATATAATGAAAACTGTTACCATAAAGCCTATTTCTCGAGACAATGCGCCTAAGATACATGGAGACTGATCGATTTATAGTCCTTAATGTCAACATGTTTGTTGGCTGCCGACTAGACATCACAACGCTTAAGCTATAGGTATATTCAGTTGACAAGTCTCAAGTAGGACAAAACACACCTATAGTATACTCAATCAACTATTAGACACTGTTAGGATATTGATCAAATATCCTAGTAGAATTATTTTTGTAAGTCTTATGCCATTGGTCAATTCCTACTGGTCAATATTATGGTCTTCCTAGCTACCA